CCCGCGCCCTGCACCACGGCACCGACAAGGTCTTGGCTAAAAAAGAAAGCAGTAACTGAAAAAACGCACACCCAGGGCAGGGTTAGACACTCCCAGTTCCAGGATATGGGGAATCAAATAGATAACTTAAAAACATTCATTACCTTTCTCCTTCCCAACCTGTTCTTTCCAGAGGGGCAGCCCAGCTCCGGAGCACTGAGACAGGAGCAAGTGAGGACAGAGGCAGCCACAGCCTTGGGGACATGCAGCCCCCAGAATGAGGGGTCATGATCATGTCCCTGAGGGGGCTGTACAGCAGCAGCACAGGCAGGAGTCACCAACAGGGGAGAGTTTCTAGAACCACTCACAAGCAGAAAGGCCCAAATAAACTGACAAGTTAAAAAATACTTATTTAATGTGAGCTTTTGTACTCGACAAATACACAAGTCCCAAAAGGTTCAGCAGCAGCAAACTAAACAAAAATTTAATAAACAATAATTCCATCTTCAGGAAATTCATCCTGTAATTGCATTTCTCAGCTAAAATATGGAATACGAAGGCTGAAGGAAGCTCCTGGATTTGGGTTTGGGCAGTGCCATCATGGCCAGCTTCCCAGCAGCTCCCTGTGTGCCACCAACGCTGTAGGACCCGGAGCTGGCACCGGAGGAGGCTGGAGCCTTTGAACTCGGCAGCTTCTTGGTCCTTCTGTACCTGCTGTAGCCACTGCAAAAATCAGAGAAGGTGTGTGTGAGACACCTGTGGCACCTGCCCTGGCCTCTGCACCAGCCTGCGCTCACACAGGCACCACCACTGCATTTTCTGGAAGACTACACACTCATTTTGTGATTTTTCTTTTTTTTTAACACACATGGCTGCAAAACGACCTCTGAAATGCAAACAGTACAGCTATTGCTCTGGGATGTACCCAAGGGTGAGCAGCAACAGCAAGCAACACTTCCGAGGCAGCAGAGTTAATGACAGATATTCCAGTAGATGGGAAAGTTCCAAGGATGGGACAAAACCTGCTGGGCTGGGAAAACCATTTGCTACAAAAACCAGGGAGGAGAATGATGAGAATTGGGGGAGGGAAGGGGAAATCCTTGGGAAGTGGGAGATCTGCCTGAGAAGCTCAAGACCAACCAACAGCAGATGCAGGTGTTGCTTTGCATGATACAATCAGAAGGAGAATCTGAATTAACAAGGGGCTGAAGTTCAAATATTCCATCAAATGTTCAAAGTTTTAAGACCTGTTTGTGATTTCAAGCAAGGAACCTGGTGAGCCTGCTAATGCTGGCTATGGCAGAACACTGAAATGGAGTGTTCCCTGCTCAGCCTGCAGCAGTCAAGTGTGAGGACAGCTGTTAAATATCCTTCCTCACCAGCTTTGAAAAGCAAACATGCAGAAAAGCACAGCGGAGCAGCTCTGACCAGGCACCTGGATAGTTTTAACAGCATTATTTAAGCCCGTGCAGTGGGATAACTGCTGCACAGAGAAGCGGCCCCAGGCACGTACCCTCTGGGGTGGAACTGCTGGCTGCCACCACCACCCGTCCTTTTCCTCTTGGTGTCCCTGGAGGTGGGCGCCCGCTTCCTCTTCCTCCTCTGGTTTGTGTTATTGCCAAAATAGCTGGAGGTCGTGCCTGCATCCTCTGCTTCCCCATCGCTCCCCAGCGAGCCCGTGCTCCCCGTGGCCGTGTCCCCGCCCGGGCAGGCAGCATCTTCTACACAGGCAGGGAGGGAAAACCAACTCGGTCAGGGAGCACCCACGCCAGTCAGGACACTCTGCTGGCGTCAGAACATCTGTCCTGGCCGTTCCTCACCTCCTCTGCACTGCCCCACACCTGAATTTATCTCTAGTGGGAAGGCAGAAAGACTTTGGTGTGTTCTGAAAGTGATTGCTCCCTTTTGGAATTATTGAACTGTAAAAATTAGTTATTTGTGATTAAATCATGGGAACTTTTGAATCAACCATCTGCTAGAGGAGGAGAGAAAGGCACTGAACAGAAGTACATGTTGAGGTACAAAGCACACCTGGGATGGAGCATTCTGAGTACTTATCCATCACTTTAATTATTTCTGCACCGTACTTCTCCAGTTTGTCTTCTGTGACACCATCGATCTGCAGCAACACCTCCACGTCTGAGGACAAGGTTTCTGCAGCACAAAAGTATCCCTCAGACATGTCAAACAAATAACTTTTTATAAAGATACCCCTTTATAAAGAAGGAAATAAATTCCTTTCCATGCCCCTCTATGCAGAAGCCCCAAAGGACTTCTGAGAAATCTGGCCTTACCTGCTATTTTCTTTAGGGTGGAAGTACTGAAGATATTGAAGTAATGCACGTCAAAGACTTTGCCCAGGGTTTTGCAGGTGTCTGTAAGTTCACTGAGGCACTGTTTCACCATCTCTTCCCGCTGGGACATCTTTGCCATGGAAGCCCTTTGCCTTCTGATGGCACTGGCACTCTCTGTCTCGTGGAACTCCACCTGTTAAAATGAGCCATCGGTAACTGCTGCCAGGGAGTTCCTGCACACCCTGACTGATAACACAGGGACACAGCAGCACAGGAAACTGAGATATCCTCTGATGGACCAGAAAAAGCTGTTCACCCAGCACACATATTTAAAATAAGTTTTTACAGGTTACTCAGCCCCACCCCAGTTTCCTCAACAAAGGGCTGGAAGAGTTTAGAGAGAAGGAAAACCTCCAAGAGCCCAATTCCCAGCTGGCTTCAAACAGAGGTCACTGGGGTAATGCTGAGGGCTCTGTCCTGCTCCAAACACAGCACTAATGCAGAGAACGTGTTGCTTCAAGAAACCTGGGACTGTTCCACGACCTTCATGAAGTGCCTATTCCATCAGATCCCATCAATGACTAGGAAAAAATAGAGTAGAAAACAAAGAAGGGAGTGCTGGTTCTTCTTCTTTCTCTTCTTAGCCATCTTTCTGTGGAGGTCAGAACTTTCCTCCACTGTCCAGCAGGAATTAGATGGGTGGGGAAGAAGAGAAAGGTTTAGACCTCTCCAAGCCTCTCAAACTCACTTTTTGCCCCACAGTATTATTACTGGAATACTGGGCTAGGAATCACACGTGTTGGATTCTGTTCCTTCCATCTACCAGACATCAGTTCAGCTGGAGGCAACCTGTGTTTAGGCTACCCAAGGGAATATGCTAAAGGAAAACTGCAGCACCTTCCTTAAAACAATGCCTTCAAGAAACGAAACAGTTACACACCTGGAGTGACCCATCCAGCACAGCCTGAGCTCTCTCTCCCAGAATGACATAGGCCACTGCCTGGTCATTAGCTGTGATGTACAAATCCTCATCCAGGATCTTGTCCAGGACCAGCTTTCTGAACAGCCTTTCAGCATTGTGCCTGGAATAGGCAGCTCCCTTCCCAAATATTCCAGACTGAATCTTGGCACTCGTTGAACCTGTGCAACAGAAAGCATAGGATGAGCTTGTGCTCACATAGCCCATGTACACGCATTTACAGATGTGTGGGAGATTCCCAAGGCAGTCTATTCACATTCAAAAAAGCCTTTAAACACTGGAAAACCAATATTATCACTATAGCAACCTAAAATGGATTAAATCTTCAGTTTAATTTATTTTGGATCACTTACCACCATGAGATTCTTGGGAAAATTAACTTTGCGAAATACACATTTTTTTTTAAACACCTGCTGGCATTGCACAGCCCTCTTGATTCCTGGTCAGGGATTTGTGCACCAGGTCATTGAGGAGTTTCTGGGAGAACACTCACCTAGGAAAATGTCCACCATCATGTTGAGGGTGTACCGGCCAGAGCCTGGGTTCCTGCTGCCGTTGATCCGCCCCGCCTGCGCGCAGTGCTCGCGCACAAACCGCACGATGCTCTTCACATCCTCGGTCACGTTCCGTGATTTATAATCCTGTCAAGTCACACCCCATCAGGACATGCCATTACGTGTTCCTGCCCTAATGCAGGCTGTTACTGACAACCTCAGTTTTCGTGATTGAGCTTTTCTCAGCTGTGAATTGAGTTTGTTCCAAATAAAGAAACCGTGATTTCCTAGTTAGAAACCTACAGGGATACAGTCACAGGGATTCTGGATGTGGTAACACAAAACCAGTCCAACTGACTGTATATAATCCCCCCAGGGTTATTTGTGTAGAGTGAGGTGCAAGATTGCTGGGTAAATACTGGCAATCAAGGTAAATCATTTGGGAAGCATTCCTGTAATTATCCTGCTGTGCTCTAGAACATTAGAATGAGACTAAATAGGCATGATCCTCATCAAATTTGGTTCCAATCACAGCTGTATAAGGAAATGTTTCAAACACAGAGCTGAGACACAATATCCACAGGTACAAAACTAATCAGGATCCCTTCCCTGTCGTGTAACCGCTTACAGATGCAACTAAATACAAATTCAGTTTTACACCACTACAAATAAAACCTTTGGGGTTTACCTTCTTTCTACTGCAGTTGTCACAAATCACCTCTGGGTGGTCTTTGCAGAAGGTGGGGTTGAAGTTGGTCTCCCCAAAGTAGGCGAGCAGCTGGACGCGGCGGCACTCGACCACGTTCTCGCAGTAGTGCACCATGCTGTACAGGTTGTTGAAGTGGGTCTGCCTCGTGTGGCTGTTCCCATCCTTCTCCACTGAAACACAGCAAATTCAGTGGTGTTTGTTAAAGCTGCCCCTCTGCCCTTTCATGGAATGCGAATAAAAACTGGCTTTGCTTAAAAAACCCGCAATACTGCCTTTGTTTAAAACGCAATATTGGCTTTGCTCAAGAAAAGATGAGTGGGTTAGTACAGAACAGATGTAGGACAGATTTTATCTCTCAAGTTTTAGAGAACTGGAGAAGGGAAATAAGGCTAGAATGACAAAAATCAAGAGAAGGGTAAGCATGACAGCATGAGAGAAAGTGGCCTCAAGTTGTGTCAGGGGAGATTTAGATAAGATATCAAGAACAGTTTCTACATAGAAAGGGTAGCAAAGCCCTGGCACAGGATGCCCTAAATGGAGTTAGTATGTTTGGAAGTGCTCAAAAAGTATCTGGATGTGTCACTTGAGGACATGTTCTAGTGGTGAACAGGGGGGTGGAGTTGGTCTGACAGTTGGATTTGATGATATTAAAGGTTTTTCCACCCTTAACAATTCCACGATTCTGTGAAGCAAAATGGTTTTAACTAAAATTAAGTACAAGTGACAAAAATCCTGCTCCTGGCACCTGAATGAAAACCATCCAGGTAAGGATTCCCAGTTCTTCCCTCCCTGCAATACTGAACTATCCATGGCATTTGTAAAAGGAAAGTAACACAGGCTAAAATGAGACCAGCAACAATGTGATGCTGTAATGTCATCTCCAAGTCCCCACAGGAGAACTCACTCAGGATAAGCCTTCTCAGCCTGGTGACATCACTGTAGCTGTAGAAGAGCAGGCAGTGGGACATCTCTCCATCCCTGCCAGCTCTGCCAGACTCCTGGTAGTAGCCCTCGATGGATTTGGGAAGGGACGCGTGGATAACGTAGCGCACGTCGGGCTTGTCGATGCCCATTCCAAAGGCAATTGTTGCACATATCACCTGGGAAGGAGATCATCATGCTCTAGACACACATTAGGGAAATCACTCCTGCAGCACTGCATGGAAAGCAGACCTTTCCATGAGGGACCTGGATTGGCAAACCTGGAGGACTCAGAATTTCAGCTGTAACAGTGCAGAACAAGCACAAAACAGCAACAACCTCCCCTCCTGTTGGAGGAGCTGCTCCACACACAGGAAAACCCAAACCCCAGGCTCTGCACAGCAGTGTGCCAGGAGCTGTTTCTGAAGGCCTGCCCTGCTCAGGTCCTCCCTGCTGGAGTAGCACACCTCTGTGCAGTGCTACAACCTTTCAATCACAGAATTTCCAGTGGAAGGTGGGAGCTGTGCCCCAGCAGGTCTGCTGGGATCAGCTATTCAATACTGCATTCGGTGATAACAACTTCCCTATTATTTCCCAGGCCAAGAGGGATAAAAGTGCCCAAATTTTCTTCCCTTTTTCTCCCACTTTTTCTTCACCTGGCAACCCTCCTGATTAACCCACTTCTGCTGCACCAGATCCCTGTTGGAGTCGGTGAGGCCGGCGTGGTAGGCCAGGGCAGCCAGCCCCTCCTTCTGCAGGATGGCTGCTGTGGTGTCACACTCGTGCCGGGAAAGGCAATAGATGATCCCAGAGTCATCTGCAAAGAGATGGGAAAAGAAATCTGAACTACAGTACAGTTTTAGTTGCTTTCCCTGCTCAGCCTGCCAAGCAGACACCGACCTCTCCCCAGCGGAATAAAGATAAGAGTAAAGATATAACTGCTTCACTATAGAACTTATTTTATCAGTACAAATAGTCTCGACAGTCTTTCCTACACAGTCTTTTTGGGTTTTTGATGAGGTGGAATGAAGAAATGTTTTCCTCATCAGTATTTCGCAATCTCAGGATTTAGCATCCATGAACGAAACCTATATAATTCAAGAGTTAGAGCATTCCAGGAAATGCTCTCTCTGAGGGTACAGCATGGGAGAAGCTCTGAGGGAGCTTGGTGTAATCCAGTTCCAGCAGCAGGAGCTGCAGGACTCCAAAGGGAGCCTAGAAAGATGGGAATCTCTGAAGATAGCTTCAGGGGGAATTACAGATAAGCAGACCAACGCAATTAAACAATTAAGATATTGGGTGACCTTTATTCTCTGAAGACATGATCCTAAAAGCTCTGGCAGGCTCCAGAAGGGTCATTCAAGAGCATCAGCACAATTGACTTTTCCATCTTAACTTAAATTCTCAACTTTAGAATGCACATAAATCTGATTCCCATTTTCAGTAACATCACTTTACCCCCATCTTGCTTTTCTGGTAAATATATCACTATTACAGCATTATAAAAGCTTTTACTGCCTTGAGAAGTGGTTCATGAAAAGGCCTGTGGGCACCATGCTGCTGAGTACTCACGGGGGTGATATTTTTTAATCCATTCCAAGCAATCCATCGCCACCTTCTTTGGCTTCTTGGGCAACACATCATATTTCAAGTTATGCCTGTTGAAGCTCATTGTAAACCTGAAATGTGACAGTTCATGGTGCTTGTCAGCCTTATGGACACAGCTATGTTGTGTTAAACAGCTTCCTTCCATCATGCAAGGAGGGGCTTGGTGAGTTTTTTGCTTCTTACATTAATATTTTAAATCTACCTCCTATTAAACTCCATGCATGCATTTAATTTAATTTCATTTCATCAGATACAGCTACACAAGGATTTTAGATGGACCTGTGAGGCTTTTTTTACTTCGCTAAGCGTTCCACTCAGAAATTCCACGGCACACACAAAGGGTTCCAGAAGCCTGCGGAGCAACTCACACTTGTGGCTTGAGCATCTCGAGCTGGTTGAGGATGTCCTTCTGCACGCGGGGGTTGGCGGTGGCCGTCAGGGCCATCATGGGCACGGAGCGGAACTTCCTGCGCAGCGTGTTCAGCCGCTTGTAGTCCTGGCGGAAGTCATGGCCCCACTGCGTGGAAAACACAATTTCAGTGCAACTCAGTGCAACGCTCCAGCTGAGCCCTCCGGCATTCCTGAAAACAAGGGGAGGCTTTACCTGGCTGACACAGTGGGCCTCGTCAATGACAAAACGTGCCAGGAGTTTCCTGTCATAGAGGTTCTCCAGGGCGGACATCAGGCGGCTGCTGGCACACACCTGGGACACGCCACCAGTGGCAATGGAAAGCAAAATACCTGGGCTGCAAGTGTCAGCTGGGCTGGCTGAGAGCACACAAACCGCTGTCCTACGCTGCAGAGTCACCCTGCACTGCCCAGCTGAGTGCTCAGGGCACAGAGATGATCCCACTCAGCTGCGTTCTCACCAAGCACCTGCTGTGGGATTCCCACCAGGTTCTGGGATCACCCACCCCAAGGCCCCTCATTCTGAGGAAATTGCAGTAAATTTAAATTACTTATGTCAGGAAACAGAGAAAAATAATGCTGAAGACAGAAACACAATCAGCACAGTAACCAGCCCCCTCTTACAAAGCTCTTGTGCAATAACATATTTTTAAGGCAGCATATAATGCAGCCCAAGGCAAGCTCTGACAATTCCCTATCAACCTGACAATGCTGCATTTTTCCTGTATTACCCTATTAGAGCAGTCTGGATTTAGTAGCTACAGGACAGTGATTAACACTAATGTGCATCAAGATAGATTGAAACAGCTGGGCATGGGAGCTTGTTGTAGGAATTTACATTTTACAGACATACTCAGTTCTTATTCTTGGCTAATTACTGATTGAAATTAGCTACATCTGTATAGATTCTTAATGAGTTACCCAAAACCTAGCATTTTTTTCCCCAGAAGCCTACTCTGAGTGCAGATTTTCAGCACCTCACATCCCCCCCTCTTAGCCCCTATGGTTTTACAACTGAAGATAAAGTACAGACCTTCTCAGGGGTGACATACAGCAGCTTTATCACAGGGTCTTTCTTCGACAACTGCATGTAGATTTTTGAGGCATCAGCATCTGTTCTGTCACCAGTCAGGTATGTTGCAGCAATCTATATTAAAAAAAAATTATAAATACATATATTGAGTTTTATTACATGCAAAACAGAACCTCCAAATGAAGAAGCTCCCAGCCTCTCACTACAAACCATTTCCTAAGCAGACAGCCTTGGGAACACACGTTTGGAACACACATCTGAGAGCCTGGGCCAGGGGAAGGTGTCCCTGCCCATGGTGAGGGGTGAAACAAGGTGAACTTTAAGATCCCTTCCAACCCAAACCGTCCTGGGATCCCGTGATCTCCTGCACCTGCATTTCTGCTCTGTATATCATGTTTCCAAAGACGTTTAGCACCTCCAGAACCCCCCAGCTCAGGAGCCCCTGGGGCTCGCTCCCACTGCAGGGCCAGGCTGCTCCTGTGTGGGCCAGTGATCACAAACCTCAGAACCAGCCCCTGCTCTGCAAAACACAGCTCCAACACCCAACACCAGGAGCAGCAATAAATCCAGCGGTCACACTGCCAAGATATTCGAGTTCATCCAATTTAGCTCTTCCCAGGCAACTTCCTGTGCCGTTCACAGTGTCCACCTAATCTATTTATGCAGTTTATATTTGGGAGACACAAGATTTGCTGTAAAATTTCAGATTTCTAATCCAGTTACCTGCAGCTTCACTCAATAAAGCTGCTGGAACTTACATCTAAAGTCTTCAGCTTCTGAACCTGATCGATGATGAGCGACCTGAGCGGAGAAATAACGATGGTGACCCCGGCAGAGACACAGGCTGGTAACTGGTAGCACAGGCTCTTCCCACCTCCTGTGAGGATGAGACAACACAGCAAGGGTTGGCTATGGAGAAAAGGGATGGACACCTACTCCTTATTTCCCATTTTACAGCACCCCCAGAAACAACACATTTTGACCAATGCCTGCCACTGAGTGACACCTGTAGGATAAGGAAGTGTTACTGTGTGAATTACTAAGGAAAGCAGAAATTCATCCCCCTCACTCAAAATACCCCAGTGCAAAAATAGTCCTGAAATCCTGCAGTCACAGAATTCCAGCAGCTCAAAGGCACAGGGGAAAAGAAAAGCTTGTCCCAAAGCTTGCAAAAGGAGCTGCAGGTTGGTACCCTGTACCTGTGGGCATGAGGATGAAACAATCCTCCCCCAGCAGAGCAGCATTGATGGCCTCCAGCTGGTTTGTCCGGAAACAGTGCAATCCAAACTTCTTGTGGAATATATTCATCATTTCTGCAGAATGGGGAAATTTCATGCCCCTGAAACGCTCCAGTGCAGGGTTATGAACCACTGGATCTGGAAGACAAAAAAATGCAATTAGAGCAAGTTATGACATGAAGTTACAGAAGGAATTGTTCCCTGTGAGGGTGGGCAGGCCCTGGCACAGGTGCCCAGAGCAGCTGTGGCTGCCCCTGCATCCCTGGCAGTGCCCAAGGCCAGGCTGGACAGGGCTGGGAGCACCCTGGGATAGTGGAAGGTGTCCCTGCCATGGCAGAGGGGGCACTGGAGGGGTTTTAAGGTCTCTTCCACCCCAAACCATTCTCTGACTCTGATTTTCACCTCCCCTTTTGCCAGCCTGTCCCTATATTAACCTGAAATGACACTGACCAACCCTGGGCCCTGGGGGGACTGAGTTTGCTTCTACAAACCCATTTTGGAACATCTTGCAGTGAAAACCATCGTACCACTTTGAATCAAAAGCTGCAGAATCATTATTTAACTAAAACATAGAAATACCCTCATTTCCAATTTTAGCAGCCTCATCTTCCAGCAGCCTGAAACCAGCACAGGAAGGGAATATTCAAGTTTAGCATCATTTAGAGGAAAAAAAACCCCAAGATGACTTTGCAAAAAAGGAACCAAAAGAAACTTCCACAGAAACGAAAGGCTTGGATGTGATCTGTAGTAGTTACTTGGTATTAGATTCAAAAAGAAATAACTAAGAATTTAAAAATGGAAAACCCCAACAACCCTCAGGAGTGCAGCTCACCTGGATGGTTCTTTGCTGCCATGGGGAGGGCTGGCTGTGCAGCAGCAGGAGTGGAGCCCACAGCC